GGGGAACTGTAGATTTGTAGAGAGTGGCTTTATAGTTTCAGGAGTCAGAACAGAAGTTTTCAAAACTGTCGAGGAGAAGAGTGCCTGAGTCTGTGCTGGGGGGTGTACTGAGCGCATCCGAGTGGAGAGGAGATTAGAGGACCATCGCAGGAAGAGTCCTTTGCCTGCACAGACAGCAACATCTGACTTCTGGGAAATGAGATCAGTAGCTGAGGAGTCAGAGCCGGGTCCCGCTCCTCTGTGTCACTGTGGTCATCTGTGCACACACACTCCTGGGGACAATTGAGTGTTCCTCTTTGTGGCAGCTTCAGGACCCTTGGGAAAGGTGGCTAAGCACCAAATGAAGGCATATTTGCAAAGTAAAGTTCTGATCCACTCTTCACTCTAATATGATTCAATCATGTACCACGGTGTAGAAAGACAGAAATGAATCCAGAGGCTTCTATTTTGTTCCTAGCAGGCATGTGCCACACAACATCTCACTGACTCTAGGTAATTAGTAAGACAGGAAAACACAGATTATACTCTGTGAACTTCACAGAAATTCTACAATCAGGCTGAGCTAACAGCTTTTACTGACCCCATCACCTGGGCTAAAGCTGACCAATAGAATATTTACACATACCGCTATATAGTTTTAACTTAATAGATCCTCCTCAGCCTCAGCAGCGCAGACATGACAAGATATATTAAATTAAAACTAATGACCTACATGTGACCATTTAGTACTCCATTTAGAAATATATTAAGAAGAAATTAAAACAACATAATATTTGAATAAAAACAGTGAAATGTGCCTCATTTATGGAAAATGTACATATAGGAGATAAATCCCTTAAAATTCCATGGCTAGTAACACTGAGCAATTATTTTCATGTTCGTGGGTGTTCATGTTAACAATCGTCTGGCTGATCAAGGTGGTCAGCAGGGTGGTTCTACTGCAGGACACTGAGCTCGTCTCCAGCCTTTGGATTGTGTTTGATGCGGATGCAAGATAGTGCCCACTCAAGGCAGAGTGTCTGTAGGGCAAAGTAGTAGGACTGAACAACATCTCCAAAGCAGGCTAAGCAGGCAAATGTAAGTCCAATCATCTCTAAACAGAGATGCATACAATTTTAATGTATTGTTTTACTTTATTAATTTATGGTCTCTAAAATATTTACTGCATTTAATTTTCAAGGTAATTGTGCATAGAAAAATAGTTAGGTTTTTCATAATTTTTATGTATACAATTAAAAATACTTTTCATATGTAATTTTCCATTAAATAGAAATGAAGCTAGGTGTATTTTCAACATGAGGCTTTCTTCATTGGGAAAAGGAATATCTTTAGCCAAAGGTAAACGTCCTTGAGCACATAGCTTCTTAAAACTTCTGTAGATTATCTGTCAAGTGGTAAAAATGAAGATGGGCATCCACTTTGTCTAAGATGCATTTGCTACTTTGTGTGTAACATGCTCACAGTGATGTTGATGATTCAACTGGCATCGGGACAAATGTTGAGAAGCAAAGTTTTAATATCAAGGAAAAATTATACCATATGGACCTTTAGCTTTTCTTGTTTGCTTAGTCAAGAAAGGTTTTTCATTTGTTTGTTAATGGTTGCTATAGATTCTAGGCTATTTTCTCATCTTTCAGTTTACTCTGTGACTCAAGAAAAATTGCTTTCAATGATCCCATACTGGCTACTAATGTATGGAAGCACATTCAAGCATATTCTGAGGCCATCCCATACCTGAAAAGATCTGAGATTTGGGCAAATATTGACTTTATGTGGCTGTCAGAATTCAATCCCAACACCACTACCATTTCTGGAAGCACTTTTCCCAAACCTGCTTTCCTCTCTGTGGTTTCTTGTAGAGCTACCCAATGAGGTGCCCTCCTATTATATTTGAATGTCAGAAGAGGATGATTCAATATTCATTGACACCTGCGGGCAGACACCTGGACAAACTGAGCAGTGGAGGATCCCCTGGTGACGAGCTGCATCAGCTGAGAACATCAGCACCTCCACCTTTGAGCCTCCAAGACTGGTCTGAGGACCACATGGCCAGGCAGCTCATAACATCGGTGGCAGAGAGACTCTGGCTACTGTCAGACCATCAGAGAGTCCCCTGTTTCTAGCATCAGCTTCCCTGACTACCCTACCCCCAGGCTTGTACTTCCAATTCTAATTTCCTGTATTAAAACAATTCTTGCTTCAAATCTGTAGAGTGGCTTGTATTTTGCTGTATGAATCCTGACTGATGCCATAAAAGAGGCTCCTCAAGTATCATAATTGTGGTCCATTATTAACTCCAGAGAGGCTTTGTCGTGTCTGCACTGCTGAGGCTGAGGAGGAAGAGTTAGAACACCGAGGAGCCTCCCTGGCCCTGTCTATCAAAACCTTCACAGCTTGGCTGTCTCTAAGAAAAGCTCTGGGCAGATGGAGGCACCAGGAGGTGCAGCTCCAGGAGGAGCAGCTGGGGCAGCCCCGCCTCCCACATCTGCTTCCCTGGGGGGTTTTTGTTCAGCCTTGTAACACTGTGTGAGGGAAACTATAACCCTGATGACAGTAATATGTTGCAGCATCATCAGTCTCCAGGCCTCTAATGGTGAGAGAATAATCTGTCCCAGACCCACTGCCACTGAACCTTGATGAGACCCCGGGGTACAAGTTGGATGCTCCATAGATCAGGGGCTTAGGAGGTTTCCCTGGTTTGTTCTGGTACCAGGCTAAACTATTATAAATGCCCTGACTGGCCCGGCACGAGATGGTGACTGTTTCTCCTGGAGATGCAGACACGGAGGATGGAGACTGGGTCATCAGGATGTCACACCTGGTACCTGAGATTGGAAACATAAAAACAAACATTCATATAATTAATCATATTATAAGAAGACCTCCCTGAGGCAGTACTGAGCACACTGGCTGAGAACATTCCTGGTGTTGTCCCTCCTTACCTGGGAGGCAGAGCAGCAAGAGCCCCAGGAGCTGAGTGGGGACCCTCATGTCCATGCTGTGCCCTGACAGGGACTGACTCCTGCACAGGGTGTGATCAGCCTGTTGATAAGTCTGCAGGGCAGGGGCTGTGCTGGAGGAATATGCAAATCAGCAGGGGACGGGCAGGCTGGGCACAGCTGCAGGGCTGGCTCATCTCAGTGACTCAGGACAGGCCCAGTGTCCTCAGGTGTGCTAGGTCAGACCAGGGCATCACAGATTCACCTGCAGACAATGTCTTTTTCCCTGGAGGACATTTTGATAAAAAGGAAATTTTGGGGCACCTATAGTTAAAACTTGAAATGGATGTGAAGACTACATGGAGTAATATATTTCAAAGTTGTATGGGGCGTATGTGGCAGAATATCCTTATCTATAAAGAATATAAAGTCTTAGAGGGTGGGACTTTCAGGTATTCGATATACTGTCAGTTGTTTCCAGATGTGACTCTTGGGACACCACCACTGCATCTCCTGCTGACCTTCCCAGGCCCAGCTTAGCCTTCTGGTCCACAGCCCTTTCATCTACCCACATGGTCTCTTCTGAGTGACCATCCTCTCCAGTGGGAGAACAAATGAGACCACTCATCCCCAGGTGTATATCAAGGGCAGATTCCATTTTTGGAAGGTCACCTATGTCCTCCTGGGTTAACTAGGAACGTGTGACATGACCAAAGGTGCATTTAGGCAGGAATCTCACAAACTCTTTCCTCACTAAATCCTCAGAGCCCTGTGTGATATACCACTCTCCGTGAGCTTGCAGTGGCACCTTAAGTGCCAGGCAGTTGTCCCTTCAGCTCTGTGATTCTTCCTGAGACAGACATCAGAGCTTCCATCTGGGTTCATATCTCACCCCCGACCCCACCAGCATTAACACCCCAACATATGAGCCACAGAGCCGTGCACTGTGCCTACAGCTGATCCCCACCACTCGCTTCCTCTTCTGATTTACTTCCTCTGCCCAAGGGTTTCATATTCTTCTTCTTCTTAAGATAACTATTGACTTACATAGTATCTTGCATTTATCAAAATTCCTTTGAATGTGTCATACTACACTCAATAATTAATTCATACTTTGTTCTTGTTTGCATATTTAAAAATGGAGCATTGGAATTCAGAAAACACCATGCTTTACTTCAACCCATTTTGACTGAGAGTGTTGAAAGACTTCTGGAAATAGACTTTCATTATTAAATAGATTTTCCAAAGTCTATCTATTAGTGAAGAAACCAAGACTGTGAAATGTTATACTTGGCTACTCCCCTGAGAACAGTAGCATAAATCCCTGGCCTGCTCTGGCCCTGGAGAGAGACGTGTGCTGAGAATAAGGGCACAAGTGGTGAAGGGGTAAAGACAGATGTCATCATCACCAAATAGTATCTGGCTGCATATAGACTAGTGACTGCTATGCCAAGGCATTACCAAAAAATGTGACATTGTTTTGTTGTCATGAATCAGCTTTGATTGGTCGACTGCTAACCTAAATGAACGTAATTGACAAATGCATGCAAAGAAGAGAGGATTAAGATCAGCTTCAGGTGAGAGGATGCAGTCAGCTCTCCCTTCTCTCCTGTCTGGTTGCTCAGAGGGCACTTGGACCCCTCTAATCTGCTGCAGGTTCTGCTATGCTCAGGCTGCCACAGTCGATGTGGCCCCACGTATGGTGCCTGAGCCAAGAACTCATGGTCCAGCTGCAACTTGTTCCCCTGAGGTCTCCAACATCTTCCTCTTACACAGATTCAGAGAATACATTGTGTCTGCTCCCCAGTGAAGGCACAAATATGGGAAGCTGGGACAATCCAAGAAGGGAGGATTTTGTTTGGGGCTGCACCACTGTGAGAAGAAACTTTGTAGTTCGCATGAGGTCATAAACTCCTAAATCCTCAAGCTCCATCCACCTGTCGATTTTGAGCGCGAATGTGTTCCTGGCCTGCTGCCACAGAACCTGTCTGAGGCCCCAGAATCCCAGGTGGTAAAGTTATAAATCATGCACCTTGGCCATTGCCCCGGCTTCTGCAGGTCTCAATTCCAATAGGTGTTTCCATCGCTATGCAGGAGGCTCTGACCAGCGCTGCAGGAGATGGAGGCGGCTCCCCAGGGGTGACCAGCAGGGACTGTGGTGTCTGGGTCATCACAGCATCCCCACTGAAATAATGAGAGAGAAGTGCAAGGTTTTGCATAAACTTTATGAGACATATTCTCCATTTCACTATAATTTTTTTCAGGCTAAATCAATTTTTCGTAATTTTGATTCAGACTCCCAAAGAAATATCCAGTTTACAAATTGAACATATTTACAAGGCCCAGAGGAGCTTCTAGTAGTCACCTTCGCTATCCTCCATCCCCTCTTTCTGTGTCAGAGTGTTCAGCAGAGCAGAGGTCCTTTCTCATTCTGGAATCTTCCTCACTCTCTCAGACCTAAATCTCACAGGCCCCATCCTGGAGGACAGGACACGCGCATCTAACATCGCGCAGGGAATGCACATGGGAGGCAAAGGGCCCTCTTCCTTCTCCAGGCCCTGTCTGGATAGGCCAGGGCTGCCAGTCTGGACTTCATGTCTCCTCTGCAGCATCTCCTTGCTAGAGTTTGCCAACAGAGGGCAGTAGAGGGAGAGGAGGACAACAGCAGGAGAAACCTGTTTCCTCCCTGTTGGTGTCTGTAATCACTCCCCTCCCAGGAAAGAGCTTCACCTTGGCAGCTGCACTTGGTTTCAGAGGCAGAGGTTTGGGTTTCCAGGTGTGGGTGCACTGTCTCCTCAGAGATACCAGCATCCACTTGGGGAGGCCGAGGGCTTTTCCTCAGGGTTCAGAATCGCATATCCATGGGGCCCACCTCAAAGCTGCTAAAGTTGGACAGCGCCCAGCTGACTGCACCCTGACTCACTCATATTTCAACACATTCTCGCAACTTTTATAGGTGATTTGTCCAGACAAAAGCGGCCCAGATGAGCTTCTCTGTCCCCTGAAGCCTGCAGGCCTTGGGAGCCCTGTCCTGAGGGCCCTGCGGAGTGCTAAGCCCTGCTGCCTGAGAACACTGCCTCCCCCACCCCTGTGCTGCCTGCCCTCACCCCACCCCTCACCAGGACCCAGGCCTGCTGCCCACGGGCCATCTGGTCAACCTGTTTCCTGAGACAGGTCTCAGCAATGTACCCTGACTATAGACAATTCTGCTGCCCCTCAACATTTGTGCCCTGGGGCCTCATTTGCCTTATCCTAATTCCAGTCCTGACAGAAAAAATAGAGGACAGGAGATGATGGCTTAGTATTCTGTATGGGAGGGGGGGATATCCTTGGAGTATGAAGGCAAAATAAATATGTTTTTAGAGAAGCAAAAGTTAAGAGAATTCATTGTCCTTCTGCCTGCACTGCAAGAGTAATCAGTGATCTTCAGGTGGAGAAGAATGATTCCAGAAAGAAACCTGGAAATTCACATAACCATTAATAGGCTAAACATACCAGTTAAAGAAACCTTATTAAATCTAGATTTAGAAAAAAAATATATGTTTTCTTGAAGAAATAAGAACAGATAGTTTGAAAGTTATAGGATGGATAAAAGAGAACCAAAAGAAACCTGTTCACATCTTTGCAATTGTGAATTGTGCTGCTATAAATATTTGACTGCAGGTGTTTTTTTAAATAAAATTTGCTTATTTCCTGGAGGTAAATGCCCAGTAGTGAGAATTTTTTTTATTTAAAAAAAATAAATAAAAAATAAAACTTCTGTCAAGAGTTAAAACAAACAGACAAAAAACCCCCAGAAAGCTGTTCAAATAAGCATGCCACTAAGAGAGTGAAATTAGAGGGACAAAATATAAAGGTTCTCTTTATGTGGGTCTCTGTCTCTCTATAATGATATACATTTATTTATATATCTGTTGTATATATGTATGTTTTAGATGGATTGACATTTGTGATGTATCATATACATATGTATATGTAGAAATACAATGATATATTCATAGATATGATTAATGTATATGTATCAATCTAACTAAAATAGCAAATCCATTGGAAACATGGTCAGTCTTTTGCAGACATTTCACTAGAGACAATAGTAAAATGTCCCATAAACATATGACAAGGTGTTTAGCTTCATTAATTATAATAATATAAATTATAATCACAGTGAGATACTGTTACATATGTACTAGAAGGATGTAAATTGAAATATCTTATAATACCAAGTACTGGTGAAGATATAGAACAACAAGAACCTTATACATTGCTGATGGGAGGGTACCTTTGTGTACCCTCTTTGGAAATCAGTGAAGTTATTCACTGAAGATGAATATGCTGGCAACAATGTACTTTATTGAACTTCTAATGTGTATGGATGTTATATGTATAACTATAAGAAGCACAAAAGGAGGAAAGAGGGAATAGAGCTATATAGGACTGACATTTCTATATTTCACTGGAATAAAGATAGCATAAATCTAAATTATATTCTGACATATTACTATCAATATGGTAAAAAAAAAAAAGGTAGATTTGTTTCAAACAGGGAGAGAGGGTCACAGATGGCTTTTTGACAGTAGTTATCAAATAGTAAATTACCAGTCTAAGTAGGCTGCCACAAATATAATTTTAGACTCATCAACTAATTTCCTCAAATCATATAAATGAATTTTCAGATTTAAAAGACATTTGCACTATAATGTTTACCGGAGCACAGTCACAATTGCAAAGATGTGGAAACAACCAAAGTGCCCATCAATACGTAAGTGGATTAATAACATCTGGTATAGGTTGCCATGGAGTTCTACTCAGCCACAAAAAACAATTATGATCTAGCACCTCTTGTACTATCCTGGATAGAGCTGGAGCCCATTCTACTAAGTGAAGTATCACAAGAATGGAAAAAGAAGCACCACATGTACGCACCATCAAATTGATATTAATTGACTTAACTGACCAACACTTAATGGCACATATAGCAGTAACATTCATCGGGTGTTGGACAGGTGTTGGGGAAGGAGGGGATGGATATATTCACACCTAATGGTTGTGGTGTGCACTCTCTGGAAGATGGTCACACTTGAAGCTCTGACTCAGGTGGGGCAAAGGCAATATATATATAGCCTAAACATTTGTACCCCTGTAACATGCTGAAATAAAAATATTAAATAAAATAAAAATGAAAAGTAACAAAAGTGGCTTTATCAGCAGTACCCTTAATAGTAATTTTCAGCTATGTGATTTAGGCAAGAGGACATTTGTCACTGATGGAAAGTTCCACATTTCTTAAGTTTTGACAAGAAAACAGCTTTCTTGTCATTTTTTTCTACCTCATGCTGGCTGAGGAATGGACATCAGGAAGCAGTGACAGTGGAAAGGGGAGGAAAGCTGTATGCTGAGGGTGGAAGTGCCCTTGCCCACCTGAGTGACCTCATGGAGCAGAGCCCCTCCCACCCCAAGGCCACCTCCCTACATCTGGACTGTTAAGCCAGAGACAGAGAAACCTGATCACATTTAGCCCATTGTGTTTCAAGGTTTCTTTGTAGCAGCCAATTCTGTTTTCCTCTGATTCATCTTGTATGCCCTGTCAGCTTTGGGAGACCATTTGTTTTTCACCACTTTGTATTGAGATTATATACCTATAGAATATCAACATCATAAAGGATTATTTTATACATCCAACTACTTGGAAGGGGTTTAGGCCTTATTCCCTGACTCACATCTAACAGAAACTCAAGGTCACTAGGTGTCGGCAATCATATGAGGGCTAAAGAAAATTATAGCATTGCTTAAATTCTACTCCTCCTAGGTACAGTCTGTTTTCTTCTATTGCATTCCATGATACATTTTAAGTTCAAGGATGCATGTGTTGGACCTTCAAATAACACATTAAGTGTCTTATACCCCATAATATGAGGGCTCCTGTCTCTTTGATTTATATATGAATTTTGCCCTGCAATGTTAATATCTAAATGAAATGACACTTCAGAATTTTAATTGCACTTCCCATGGAGTCCATTATCTTAGAATTGACAATGGTCTCATTCATACTTTACACACAGAGCCTTTAGCAAATCTTGTTGTTCTATTGTTTCAATCATTATTTTAGTCTATTACATCTGTCATGACAAGTTACTGACATGACTCAATATTTAGGTCTGATAAAATTTTAGAGCCATATTTTAAATGGAATATACTGAAGGCATAAATTTTCTGTGCACTTACAATAAAAACATAAAATTCAGATTCATTTTTTAGGTCAGGATGATTTCAAGTGAAAGTAACATAGTTTTACATTGTTTGAAACTTTTTGTTGTAACAACATAGTACCCAATTTGTCATCTCTAAAATAGCATTTAGTTTAAATACTTTAAAAATTCTTAGAATTTTGGATAGAAAGGAAAATCTCATATTATTCTGTATTTTCCCTATGGTATATGAAATAAACTTTAGAGTCTTCATCTTAGAGTTTATGCTGTTTATTTTGAAAGCTCACTTTTGGAATTGTAAGAATCCTTTTTTATGCTGCTAACGATAATTGAGGCAAATTAAAGTCTTTTGGCAGTATGATCTAATATCTACTAATAATTTTACAAAGTCTATTTGAATAGTCAAAAATCAAACATTTTTACTAATTATTCTTAGCCATACTTGCCCTGAGGACAGCTTGTGTAGATGCTTTTTCAAACATGAGAGTGGAAAGGACAGTTTCCTGTGCACGGTGGAGGAGTAGCAGTGGGAAAAAGAAAATACCAATTTCCAAGTGTTATCAAGATTTATCTTGTTAAAAAAATACTCAACTGGTAATTTCCACTACGTATTCAACCTGTGTGACCACTAATCTCTCTCCATTGTCTGGTGTCAAGTACAGGCAAGACAGGATGAGGATGAGCCTTGATTTGCTCTCTCTTTCATCATAGCTGGTTGCTCACAGGGCACTTGGACCATCCAAGTTCTCCTGGTGCTCAGGCCGAGCCTAGGCTGCGCAGCTGATGGGCCTTAACATGAGGGACCTGAGGAGCAGCTGAGCCTCTCAGGGGCCAAAGTCCTCAGCAGCAAACTCTCCCTGATTCTCCACTAGCCTCCACTTATGCACACAAATACAGCTGAAGTGAAATTTGTCTGTCGTACATAGAAAGAAGCAGAATCCGGCTTTGAGAGTTTGGATGTTGGGCCAAGATACATTG